GGCAAGGTCTCCCTATGTAGTCCAGGCTGGTCTGGAACTCATAGAGATCCTCTTGTCTCAGCCTCCTAAGTGCTGAGATTACAGGCGTGCTGCACCATGCCTGGTTGACAGAACAATTCTGGACCTCAATTTACTTACCTGCTTAGTGAGAAGGTAGTCACTGTACGTAGTATGTAAGACTGTTCTAAGGACTAATACATGTTCTGTGTTTAGAATAGTGCCTGTTGAATTGCAAACACAACATATATCTTAGGTACTTTTATTTTTCCTCTATGTATATCACTGATATATAAGATAGTTACCTCCTTGCACCTAACAACATTTACAAGATGTTAATATTTTTAAAATAGATGGATGGTGACTGGAGTAAGTTGGTCCATGAAGATGTTTGATAAACCAAAAACTTCAGTCTCATGGCTTGCCTGGGCATGGTGGTGCACACCTGTAATCTCAGGACTTGGAGGCAGGAGGATCGCCATGAGTTTGAGGCCAGCCTGGGCTATATAGTGAGACTCTGTCTCAAAGAACCAAACTAAACCAAAGCAAAACAAAAAACAACAAGAGCTTCGGCTGCCCTTTCTGACTTGCGGGCTCTGGGGCAGGGAGAAACCTTCAAGACATGACCTGACTCTGTTTCCGTTTCCAGAGAGGAGGGCTCCACTGCCAGGCTCTGTGGGACGCAGATGTGGAGCTTGATGGGGCCCTGGCTCCTTCACTGTGAGGAGCCTCAGACTCGAAGAAAGGAGAGATCTGAGTGGGGGAAGGGCGTGGGCCTGGACCTCGAGGTGTGGGTGTCTCAGGGGACCAGAAGGCACCAAGGGCTTCAGGGAACATTCACACCAGAAAGGTAATGCGGGCCGGGCAGGGCAGGTCACCCCTGGATCTGGCTCACTTAGCTAAGATTGGAAAAAGATGAATATCCAGGACCCTTCCCCTCCCGTTCTGCGTAGGCACCCCTATAGCTTGTGGCCTACACGGGGACATTTTGAGGGTGACAGGAATTGCTATTAACAATCACTGGGAGACTGGCATAGACTGGGACACATGGGCCTGTGAATGCATGTTCTCATGCATTTGGATATGTTCATTCTGTCATCTAAGTGCTTCCAGAGGGACAGCGAGAAGAAATTTGCTGCTGCTGTTTGGAGACAGGGTCTTGCTGTGTAGCCCAAGCTAGCCTGGAGCTCATGGCGATCCTCCTGCCTCAGCTTCCTGAGTGCTGGTATCATAGGCATGTGCCACTACACTGGCTCGTGCATGAATATAGAAAAAGCAGATGTGGCCATGAGAAACTCAGCCACTCTTCCTTGGTTAATATTTACCCTGTTTGCCTTGAATTGGACAAGTCTTTAATGGTTAAAAAAGTACACTTCTTTTCTGAACAGGTCAAAGTCAAGGTTTATGCTTTGTTAATTTCAGAAAAAAAATTAGACAGAAAGCAAAGAAAAACGGCTCCCCTGTCTGAGTGTTCGTTTGTGTGCCGATGTAATGATTAATAACAGCTCGTGGGTTATTGTTCAGTGTGGCCTGGGCTGGCTGGAGCAGGAGAACACTGATTCACGCTTCAGGCATTTAGGAATGGCAAGTGTTTACCCTGAGACAATAAATGAAAGGGAGAGATAAAACCAACACCCAAATGTGCAGAGATCTTTGAATAAAACCTGGATGATAGCACAGAGGTTCGGGCTGTGACACACGCGTGGGCCGTGGATCTGTCTGGAGTGTGACCAGCGGGAGGCTTGGCCTATGGCAGTTTTCCTTTCACTTGGTGATAGGCTTCAGGCAACTTTTCACCCTGGCTTCGGGGTCACCTGCCTTTGTTGTCCCTTCTTCCCCATAGGTGACTCCATGCTAGTTTTTTGGAAAGGAGTTTCTTTATGTGTCTTTATTATTTTTTAATTTATGTTTTTGCAATACTGGGGATTGGATCAGGGAGCACTCGAGCTACATCCTCCCACTCTTTTAATTTTTGAGACAGAATCTCTACAAGTTACCTGGGCTGGCCTTGAACGTGAGATCCTCCCGCCTCAGCCTCCCAAGTAAGAGGTATGGCAGACTCCCACCACCAGCCCCAGCTCTTTCCATGTCTTGATGAGGCTCTGTCCCCTAGGGTTTCATTTGCTGCCCTCTTCTACCTTCCCCTTATTCCAGGCAGGGTTCCGGCAGGATGCACTCGGGCAGACAGAGACATGATTAAAATTGGGGTGAGTGGGGCTAGGGAGGACAAGGGGCTCAAGAGACTAAGAGGCAGGACAGACCGGGGTGATGGAGCTGGAGGGGCCCGGAGATGGCCCCGGACTCGCTGCTAGAGCAGCGGACGGCCAGAGGCTGTTCCTAGGCCCACTCATTCATGGGAGCCCACAGTCCGGTGAAGGAAGATGGGCATTGCCAGTCCCCTTTCTGCAAAAATCCTCTGTTTGGTCCTGCAGGGAGGCTGGAAGCCAGCGCTGGGCCTTCTGGGGAGATGACTTCCCCTCCCCAGGCCACTGATCAGTGGCTTGGTGACACCGTGTGCCACTGCTGGTCTAACTCGGGTCGCTAGGCTGAGGTGGTTTCCACCAGGGTTGCCCGGTAGTTAGGGCCTCACCCTTTGTGATTCCTAAGCCTTTTGGGTACAGTTCTTCAAGATGATGCAACTCGGCCCCTTCTTGTGCTTCTGGACGCTAAACTTAGAAGCCAGGAGGGCTTCCTGGCGGTGGCAGTTGTTGCTCTGGTGATCCACCGTGTTTTGTAAGTTTCCCTCGCCCTTCTCCATTTATTCCCCGGATCTATCCTTAAGGAAGGCTTGCCGGGAATTCTGTCCATTCTGATAAAGAAGAAATACAAAACTCTTTAGGCGTCTAGGTCTTAGAAGAGGAGACAGGAAGATAAATAAATAGGTTTGGGGGCAAATGAAAGGAGGAGAGACCTATTAGGGAGAGTGCAGGGTTAGATCGAGAGATCAGGAAGGCCTCAGAGAGGTTTCCTGCAGCTGTCTGGGAAGCCTTCTAAGATTCAGAAGGCGGGAGCAATGGGCCTGGGGCAGGTCTGTGCCAGTGGGCTCCTGAGGGTCTTTAGTTGTGCTGTCCTGGCTGCCTCCATGTCCTGATTTGATTCACAATGTTGACTTTTCATGGCTGTGTTGACTTGGGAGAAAAATCAGGAGTTGCACAGCGCCAGATGTTGAGTGCCAGGTGTCGAGTAAGATGACTGAGGACCCAACGTCGTGTTTTTCCCAGCCTGCCTTTCCGTTGCATGGTGGTTGGCAGCAGCAGTCACTGTATTTTTGATCACACCTCATGAACACGGTCATGAAAGAGACCTTCCAGAACTGCTTCAGAAAGTTGCAAGAACGGCAAGTGTTTGAAGGGAGGGTGAGGATTTTGAAGGGGATTCATGGCAATGTGTCTTTTTTTTTGGTACCGGGGATCGAACTCGGGTCCTTATGCTTGTGTGGCAGGAAGCGAAACCACTGAGCTAAATCCCCGGCCCTGGCAATGTGTCTTTTACTATAATAAAAAAAAAAATCATCTAAACACTCACCATATTTTGCAATTACCCCTTGTGCAGATGTTTAAAATTTTCAAGCTGTCCAAAAGTGTAGGTCCTGAAAAGTGACAGGTCCATCTGTGACTGCTGATCCCCATCCCTGCCTGGGGCAGTGAGCCTTCCCTGTCCCTGTGTACTCATCCAGGGCTGCTAATGAGCAGGCAACGGCTGGTAGCAGATAGTAACTACCCATCGGGGTAAAGTGAGGCACATTGAAGCCCAGCTCCCAGACTGCTGCGAGGGCTAAAGCAGCTCCCATGTACACTGGGGGGGCTGGGGGGGCTGGGGAGGGAGGAGCATGGCCAACCCACTGCCTGAATTGCTGCTGTTGGCTCAGGGCAAGATTTTGAGGACCACACTCCAGGGGACCTGGGGCCTCCCGGCTCTGGGTCTGTGTCCCTCGGGGAGGGGGGTCTCTTGTTGAGATCTCCCAGGTTGAAGCCAGCTGGTGGGGAAAAAGGATTGGAGTCAAAAGCTCAGAGTCTTCAAGAGGGGTGGGTGGGAGAGAGGGGCAGAGGATGCCAGCCCCTGTGCGGGAGGTCCCTGAGATTTCCAGGGGTCCCTGTAGTCTCCTCTCCTTCACCCTGGCAGCCCTGAGCTCACCTGCAGGCCACCTCCCCAGCCACCTTTCCCGTGGGAATCCGCTGCTGCCAGTGCAACCCCTGAACTCTGCTGGGCCTCTGCCAGCAGCCCCGGAGCCCGCGCCCTGCCCATTACAGTGACATGATGTCGTTTTTATTGAGGCGAGATTAGATTTAAAAAAAAAAAACTTTTCAGAAGTGTGATTCGCATGATCTCCAGTCCTTTCCCTGTGGCTTGAAGACGACAGACCTGCCAATTTCAATTTGCTCCAGCTTTTATCACTAGAAGAAGCTTAGGAGAAAAAAAGAGAGGAGAAAGGATGGATGAAAATATTCCCCTGGGCTGTGGCAGTCAGCATCACGGTGGCCCGGGACACCCGTGTCGTCACTCCCTCAGCGTCCCTGCTGTGATAAGATGTCAGGATGCTGCCCACGACACTGGGTGTCTCTGAGGCCCGAAGTCACAGGAGGGCCGAGAGAGAGCTCACAGCTGTGGGCCTTCCCTGAGTGTTTCAGCAGTGCAGAGACATGGGCAAAACACATGCATAGAAATCTCCTTCCTTCTGCTTCTATTTTATCAATTTTCCCCCTGGAGGTAGGAAGTCCCCTTCCTTCAGTCCATCCGTTTGTCCATTCCACACATTTATTGAGCACCTATTAGGTGCTCAGCTCTGCACGGTAGAAAGGCAAACTCTACGTCATTCACTGTCTACTTTTAATTTTAATTTAATTTAATTTTATTTTATTTTTTGGTACCGGAGATCAAACTTGGGTCCTTGTGCTTGTGCAGCTGGTGGCGAAACCACTGGGCTAAATCCCCGGCCCCCTACTTTTAATTTTTATTTTTGCTGAATACATGGTCACATTCATCTTGGGGAGTTGGTCCACGCACAGGACACATACAACATTTTTTTTTTTTTTTGGTACCAGGGATCAAACTCAGGACCTTGCGCTTGTGAGGCAGGTTTCGGAACCACTGAGCTAAATCCCCAGCCGAACATATACCACTTTTAAGGGAAACCTGGAGTGCCTGCTGGTCCTCAAGGTCTCTCAGATGCTAATGTAACCCTCAGCATGGGTAAACACCGAGGAGCTGCCTTCCATTCCTTCCTCCAGCAAGGCCCCAGCCCCGGCAGCACCTTGAGCTCTGAACTCTTCCCAAGATGCTGTGCGCCCCTCACTCTCAGCGCCTCAGAATTGGAAGCTCTCTGGAAAGAGGAAGAGGCAGGGAGGATTCTCCCTACAGGCTTCAGAGGCCGCGTGGCCCCATGACACCTTGATTGTGACTTCTGGTCTCCAGAGCCAGGAGACAGCACGCTGTTGTTGTTGCAGTTACTGTTGCTGTTGTTGTGAATGCCGGTGTGTGCTACTTGGTCGTTGCAGCTCTGGGAGGTTACATGGCCCACTCCCAGTCCTAGGCTCAGAGAAAATTGGTTCTTTTTCCCCCTTTAGCCTCAATGAAATGTTCAAGAAAATATGTTTGGTTTGAGCTTACTTTTTTGAAGCAGTAATTATAACGTCTTCTCAAAATATTTCATATGTTTACAGCTGTACATTTTTGCACGTTGGGCAATGTGTGGCATATATGGGGCAGGCAAATAAACAAAGGAAGAGATAGGCAAAGTTCCTCCCCAAACAGAAAGAAAGCTCTACAACTCCCTCTCCTCCCTGATTTTTTTGTTTTTAAATGAAACTCAAAGAAGTACTTATTTGTTTGTTTGTTAGTACTGGGGATTGAACCCAGGGCTTTTGCACCGAGCTACATCCAGGCAAAACTCAAACCTGCAGACTCCTGCCTCAGCCTCCTGGAGGGCTGGGGTTATAGGCTTGCACCACCACGCCCGGATTTTACCCCATCTGGAGGGTGCTGGATGGAACCCAGGGCCCCTGCATACCAGGCACGCACTCCACCACTGAGCTAAGTCTCCTGCCCTCCCCGAATCTTTTAAAAAGTAAATTTGCTGAGAACTGCCTGACTCCTTCCATCTCAGAACTGAACACTTATTTGTTTAGCCTGAGCATCTCTGCCCTGCCCCCCCCCCCCAAAAAAAAACCCCAGGATGGCAATTTCCTGGATGTGGGATCGTCTTCATCTCAAGAGTGCCTTTCTCCTCTGCTCCCTGGAGTGCCTGCCGCAGGACAGCTTCCCTTTGGTGCCCGGAGACAAACCCATAGGCTGGCAGCCAGGAAGCGAGCCTGCCTCCAGCCAGTGCAGATCCGGGAATCTGTGGATCCGCCTGACTCTGGTTGCTGACTAAGTGGCCTGGCGTTGAGTGCCTGCCTGTTGGGGCCACCTGACCTCATGCCTGAGCGGTTCTCATGGTGTCAGCTTGTACTGTGTCAGGGCCTCCTTCGCCAGGAGCTCATGCCTCCAAATGCCTCACTTGCTCACTGTCACAATGGGCCACATCACCAATGACAGCAGCTTGAGGCGCTCATCAAGCCTGAGCAGTCTGGCACAAGGGGACAAGGGTCCTTTTTAAAGCCAGGCACGCCTGTCATCCCAGCACTTGGGGAGGCTGAGGCAGGAGGATCACAAGTTCAAGTCCTGCTTAGACCACTTGGCAAGACCTGTCTTAAAGAAAAACAAGAAGAAAGGGGCTGGAGAGGTAGCTCAGCACAAAGGTCCCCGGGTTCAATCACCAGTGCTGAGAAGAAGAGAAAGGAAGATATGAGATGTGCCACACTGGGGTTTCGGTTGCTAAGGCAGCCCCCTTCTGGCCCAAGTCCACCCAGAACCTCCCCTAGAGACCCCAGCCATCAGCCAGGTCCTGCTGTGCAGTGACTGTGAGCAGTGATCTCGAAGAGTGCGCTGGAGAAACAGGCTAGGAAAGGACCTTGCGGCTGAATAGGGAAGGGTTTGGACAGGAAACAGAGCCCCAAGGACACTGCCTGGCACGGAGGAGCTTCCACGTTACATGAGGCCTGGGGCTACCTGGGCCAAGGTGCCTTCTGTTCTCTCCTGGTGACAGGCACTGACCATGCCATACAGCCGGGACCACCGGCACCCAGCACTGCAGAGCTGCAACCTGCGCCTGGCTGAGCAAGGTTGCCCCATCCGGGAACTTCGTGATGTCTCTGCAGAGAATTCTCTGGGTGAGTTTGTCACTAAACGGCTTCCGTTTGTGCTATTTACTTCCTATCCCATACGTTTGTGCTCCATGCTTTTCTCTTAATCCATTCCTTTAAAAAATAAATCTGTTGGAGATTAAAACAAAACAAAGCAAAGACAAGGAATGAAAGATGTGAGGGAGGAAGGAACGAGGAACTCACCATTAACCTCCCTTCCTAGGTGTCCAGCCCAGGCCCTTGAACGATGTGAACATCGGTCCCAGCATTCCCAGCTGTCATCCGGAGGCCAGGGCTCCCAGCAGGGAATGGAAGGTTCTGGAAGCCACACTTACAGAGGTCTTTGGAAAGTGACCTTCTCTGGAGGACTCCTTAGTTGTGTTAGTGGAACCGAATTCCCTGGACTCCCAGGCAAAGACTCTGCTGCAGGATTCTCCAAAAAACAAGCAGACAAAAGCATATCTCGAATGGCAAGTCACAGTGTCCTCAAGGTAGAGCTGGAGAAACGGGGATACAAAAGGGAAGCAGGTGTTCTCTGTGAGGTGACAGCCATTCATTCCCTGTCTCACGCACTCACGGATTCATTCATGCATTCAGCAGACGCTTTCTGATTGGCTGCTGTCGGCCACGCCCATGTAACGCTCTTGGGAAATGGAGACAGAGTCACATATGGTTGGGCCTAAGGATCAGTCTGTCCGTGCGCGACTGGAAGAACTGTGGGAAGAAGAGAGCTCGACCTGGGGAGGGGAGCAGGGAGCCGTCTCCTTGCTTTCTGGCGGGGTCTTCACGTGGGCGGTCTTGGGTGTTTGTGAGAAATAAGAGTAAAATCTAGTATCTCCTCGACACTGCACCCTGCTGGGGCTGCATGGCTTGTCCTGAGTCCATTTGTTCCTTCTTTTGCAAACCTGCCGGAGCCCCTGCTACGTATCAGGCGGAAGGGACATGTCCTGGACTCGGTGCCCATAGCCTGAGGCCCAGGTGGCAACATTGGACAACATGGAAAATCTTGTCCCAAGGAGCTCAGCGTCCAGGGAGAAGCCAGGTCAGCAAGCAGAGGGCATCAAGGCTGGGGTGCTGACCCGAATGGGGCCGCGGGGTGGGGACTAGTGCACAGGGCTGGGTTGGCCAAGTGAAGGAGCCAGGGCACTGGGCTGCAGAGGTGGGATGTGAGAGGCGGCCTGGCCGCAGATGTGGGTGGGCCCATTCTCCAGGGCTTCCCAGTCCTGAAGCTGTTTGTTCATCCACCAGCCAGCTACGAAGCCGGTATGTAAGGGTGACGCGTAGTGCAGACAAGCCAAGACTCCAGGGATTGGTTAGTGAGCGCCTAACAGGTGGCAAGCCACACTCAAGGGCAGGGGGCAGATAGAAATGGGGACTCGGCCTCTTGTCCTCAGAGAGGCCACAGCTAGATGGAGACGGCGAGGTGCCCAGCCAGTTCCAGAGCGCTGGCTTTTAGAAGAAGCAGAGCCAGCCCACCAGCAGTGACTTTCCTGTTGGGTGGACCTGATGTAGCTCCCACCTGGTAGGGATAGCTCTTAATTTTTTTTTTTGACACAGGGCCTCACTATGTATTTTGGGCTGGCCTTGAACTCCTGGCGATTCTCCTGCCTCAGCCTCCTGAGTGCTGGGATTACAGGTGTGCTCCACCAGGTCTGGCTAAGCTCTTGATTTTTGCAACAGAATGTCAGCTCTGTTGTATTCCAGGCTGGTATCTAAAGTATGAGAATCTGTGGACAGCCATATATATGTATGAAGTAAAGTTCATTTTTATTTTATTTCTAATTATAAAATAACATGATCATTGAAAAAATACAGACAAGGTGAAAGAAGATAACTTCTCTCATTATTTAACATGTTTTCTTTTTCTTCATGATTTTACATGGTTATGACCACTGTATGTACAATGTATACATTGTATGTAATTTATTTATGTTGTTTTTATTTTTTGTTAGTCCATGCTTGCTGTGCACAGCGATCACGCTCCTTGTGTGGAGCTGGCGCGTGCGCCTGTCGCATCTTCAGTCTTTTTTCGTCCCCTCCCCTCCCCTTCTCCACTCTCCCTGCATCTCTTCATCCCCTTTCCGTTTGAGACAGATCTATCTCCTTACTTCCTGTTATCTTAGGAAGAGTGCACCGCCTTGCCAGGATTTAATTTGTGTTATGTTTAGTGAGTATTTGCAGAGAGCTGCCTGTGTGTCCGGCCTGGTGGGGAAAGAGGACCCGAGTGTGGTCCACCCGCAGCTGCTCGGAGGCTGGGAGTAGCGTGTGATCCAGCAGTGCCTCTGAGATCCCCAAGCGCTCGGCCCCTGTGAACCTTCTGCTCTACGGTGGTCACGGCCCAGGCTGCTGGAGGGAGTTAGGAGTCGCCCGCTCCTCCTTCTGCCCTCCTGCGCGCTCCCCTGGGGCTGCATGGGGAGCCCCACCCTCTGCCAGGGAAGTCTGTGCCTTGAGGTGCAGAGGACACCTGGGGCTGAGACAGTGACTCATGTGTGCCCTGGGGCCAAGTTACTTCATCTCCTCTGTTCTTCCTCTTTCAGAATCTCGCAGCTATAAAGGCTCGGTGGTGCGGTTACTGCAGAGCTGTAACGCGCCTGTGCACGCACGTGTGCGCGTGTGCGCTGGCCTTGCTGTTTAATAGGGTGCTAAGGCAGCGGGGGGCTGCGCGGCCGCCCCCAGCCCCTCACGTGTGGCTCTCATTACTGTCGGAGGCGTCAGCTCGGCCGTCATTAGGAGCGGTTCCCACATCCCAGCGCCTGCGCCCTGGCTTCGTGGCAGGGAGCCCAGGCGGGCCAAGCAGCCAGGCATCGAAGGGACTCGGCGGGTTTCCACTTGGCTGAGCAGAAGATGAATGAGGCTCTGTCCCCCACATGGGGTCTGGAATCTTCAATTACGGCAATTACATCAACAGGCCCTCCGCTGGAGAGGTCTGGGCTTCAGAGAAAACTCCTAAAGCCACTGGATTTTCCCTTTCTTTTAACGGCACTGGGTTGATGAAAGGAGACCCCAGCTCCCGTCTAATTGGGCCCTGGGTGGCGAAGGAGGGTGGTCGTGATTTCTCACAGGATCTGGTGCTTTGTCTCAGGATCTCCAGTCCACGGAGCCTCAGGACATCGGGATGGCCCTTGTTTGGTGTCAGAAGACCCGGCTCCAGTCACTTTGCCTCTCTGATCCTCAGTGCCCACATCTGTAAAATGGGCATAGTGCATACCAAGACCCCCTCCTCCTAAGGCCTCAGAGACTCCGAACGCTACCCAGATCCAGACCCACTGGGTATTTCCTGCCTCAGCTACCCGGTTAGGCTGGCAGGGCTCCAAAGGTGGCTCTTGTGCCCAAAGCACCTGGGACTTGGATGGGGTCTTGGGCCCAGCCAGGCCCACGGTGTGAGGATCTGGAAATTCCTGTGCATATTAGACCCGGGGCAGGACTTTCTAGTGTGGATCTTGCACACATCAAGTGTCAGCAAGTACACGAAGGAGAGGGAGCTGAGACCTCACTCTCCTCTGTTGAATGTGGGGAGTCATGTTTGATTTGGGCTTTGTGAAATACAATCTCTTCTTAGGAACAGTTTATTATTTGTGTATTTGTCTGTTTGTGTGAGACAGGGTCGTTCAAGCTGACCTCAAACTCACAGCGATCCTCCTGCCTCAGCCTCCTGAGTGCTGGGATTTCAGCCAAATGCTACCACCCTGGGCAGGAAGGGGATGGGTTTCCAAATCAGTCATTTATCGGTGTGAGCCAGGCGTGGGGCGAGTGGGTGCCCGGGGACACTGAGAGAGCCACGTCAGCGTGTTTAGCAGTCGCCAGAGCCTCACCTAGTGCCACCTGTGAGGTCACTGCCCTGCTCACCCATGGCCACTCTGCGTGTCCACAGCAGCAGCAACCACCCGTGGCTCTCAGCAGGAGAACACACGCTCCGGTGCACCCCAAAGGGGCAGCTTCCACCCTGGAGCAGCAGGAGTGGTTCCTGAGGGGCTTCTCGTCATGAAGGCTCTGCCTGGCCGAGGCCGAGGCACCCGGCGTGGACAGGCGGCCTCAGTGTGGCGACACCAGGTGGGAGCTGGCTTCCTGGAATGGGTGCCCGGTGGGCAGGGGCGCAAGCCGAGTCCTGCTGCAGGCAGGACCCTGGTGCTGGGCTGAGGGGCAAGGACTCTCGGCGTCCACCACGGGGGCTTCTCAGCGTGGGGGATGGCAGCCTGCACCCCAGGACCCTTTCCCTGGGCTCCGAGCCAAGCAACAGGCTAGGACTTTGGCTTCTTGTGCTGGACGGCACCCTTGGGTGCGGAGTTAATTTTTAACTAAACCTGCAAATACGGGTTATCTGTGTCTCAGCGAGGATGAGGGGGGCATGGGTTTGTGCCCCACTGCTCTGGGAATGAACGCTTACTCACTCTCTGCAGGCACAGGAGAGACACGGGGCCTTCTCAGTCGTCCTGTCTGGCTCTCTGTGGATGGAGGTGGTGGCTGTTGTTTGACAAAAATGATCCCAGGTTATGGTGGCTCTGGGTCATCATTACTATATGGGCTTGAGAAGCAGCGTAATGCCACAGATGTAGCCTGAAACCTGAGATTCCAACTGAATTCAATTTGGGGCTCCTCATCTTCTTCTTCTTTTTTTTTTTTTTTGAGACAGAGTCTGGCTGTGTAGTTCAGGCTGACTTTGTACACACTGTGTAACCCAAGCAGGCTCAAACTCGTGGAGATCCTCCTGCCTCAGCCTCCCAAATGCATGCCAGGCTTCTCAGCTGTGTTCTGCTTGGCCCTCGCTAGTCCCAGCCATGGCCTCAAGTCCACAGGCAGTGACTCTGTTATAGCTGGGCCATTGCTTCTGGCTACTGGGCACACATGTGTGGCTGTCCCGGGAGGACGGGAGCTTAGTGTGCAGGAAACGCTGCAGCAAAAGTGCTTCTTCTCCCTCTTCGCTGGGTTCTGGGGGTGCCATGACCCCTCTTTCCCTTGGAAGTGTTTTTAGCACTGTGGGAGCAGCTTTTGAAGATCTCTGGGGCAAACAGGGCAAGCACCGGCCTCGTGAGCAGTGGGTGTTCTCGGGAGGAGTAACAGGGGCCCTCAGAGCAAGGGAAGAGGTCACGGCACCTCCCACAGTGCACCGAGGGGAGGCTGAGTCGGTTAGGGTCCTGCTGCCGGGGGCGCCTCGAAGCGTCCATCTCCCTGGGCCGAGCCTTGGCTTCCCACTGTAAAACGAGGGCGATCTTGATAGGAACCCAGGCAACCTCACGTTGCTCAGGCTATGAAGATCCCTCGGGACCTCACTGTGCAGGGCCTGGGGCTGAAGTCTATGGCCTCCCCAGGTTCCAGCCCTAGAGCAGCATCGCTGCCAGCTGTGTCCAACCCGTGCTCCTCCTCAGGGCGGCTGTGACTCCCCAGGGGAGGGCCTCCAGGACCCCCGAGGTCACTTTGCAGGGAGGCTGGCTCCCCAGATTTCACCTGCCACCACCAGCACACCTGAATCTTTAGTCCCCTCCCATGAGCCCCGTGAGGAACATGGGGAGATGTTTGGATGCGCTCCCATTTCCTTCATTCACACCTTTGTGCGTGCATTGCCCCAATCCTGGGATATGCAGCAGGTATTTACTGCGCATCAGAGCCGGGCTTGGGCCCTGCCATAGATCCTGTCCTGTGTAGTCAGGCTAGGCTACATAATGCTGTGTAACAAGCAATCCCCAAACCTCAGTTAACCATAAACTCCCATTTCTTCCCAGGGTTTCTTCTCAACACAGCTCTCTGAGAAAGGGATCCTGACCTGGCCGTGTGCAACAGCAGCACTCCATGGGACCGGCCCTGGGCAGGGGAGAGCAGAGAGTTGTGAACCGCAGAAGGGAGGTGACGCCCCTCGCAGCTGCCCACGCTTTTCCAGCCCCAGGACAGCACACTGCCACTCCTACCTGTGAGCAGGGTGCAGCTGTGGACTCCTTGCCGGGGCCTTTAGGAAAGGAAATGTGAAATAACTGGGGCTGTGAGTCCCTGCCCCGTTCCTCACCCTAACCTGGGAGGCAGCGATGATGCTAACTCTGCACAGACACCAGGCCTGCGCGCTCACACGGTGGGTCAGAGCGAGGCGTGGGATTTACACTGCGGAAGTCCCAGTGAGAGTTTGCTGTTTCTTGCTGCCACTTTGTCTCTCTCTCTCTCTCTCTCTCTCACACACACACACACACACACACACACACACACACACACACACACACGCACGCACACACGGAATGGCAGAGAATTATAGCCGGGCAGTCAGATGGTGGACAATGTGCTGCGGAGCTTCAGAGGCGGAGAGAGCACGTCCGGATGGAGAGTATGGGCAGCCCGGGGTGGGGCAGGAAGGAGGCGGCTTTCGTTTCTGGGTCTCTGAGAGGCCAGAGTTGGATGTTGCGCTCTGAGTCTAGGTGGGTGGCTTCTCACACCTGGAGAACCAAAGGCAGAGTCAGTTTAGTCCACGCTCTTGGCTCAGTGCGTGCTATTCCCACACCAGGGAAGTCTGGAGGGCTGGGGGTGGAGTGGAAGTGGTTTTCAACTCAGTTTGACCAAGGAGCTTTCCTGGAATGGGCCCTGGGGAGAAATCCGATGCAGCAGGGTCGATTAGGAGCTGGATTTTACTGTAGATTTGGCATAGCCTGACTCCCGCCCGCCCCACTGCTCCCTCTCCCCCTACGCCCCCACCCCTGCTGCCTTGCCTGGGCCAGCTCCGTGTTGGGTGGTGGAGGGGGGCACGGGTTTTGGCTCCCTGGGGTCTCACAGGGAGGGATAAGGTTGCAGGCCTCAGGGCCCCAGTGTTTGCCTAGAAACTCAAGAAGAATCCTCCAGGATGGGCAGAGGGATGTGGGGTGACCCGTGGAGGGGTGTAGGTAACCCGAGTCAAAGAAAATAAGCCCGCTACATGGTGCAGGCACTCAGAGAGCAGCTCACAGGCTGCCAGGGGCGTGCGGCTACTGGGAGCGGGTGATGGGTCAGGGCAGAGCCAGTGTGCCCTGGGCCCTGGTGGGCGGGCGTGTGCCCTGGCTGGGCCCCTACCCCTCCGGGTGCCCCAGCTGTCTGCACCTGGCCATGCCAGCAGTTGTGTTCCTGAGCTGGCCCTGGCCACAGCAAGTTGGGCTTCACCGGCCAGCCTGCCCCTCCTCCCACTCGGGAAGGAGAGGCTGGGGACAGCTCTGCAGACCTCGGGTGGTTTGGATCAAGCCAAGGAGCTGGATGAGCTGGAAGCCACCCTGTGTCCAGTGCTTGCTGAGACCTGGTGGACCCCCGGCCCTTCTGAATCCTTGGACAGTGGGCACAGTGCCCGAGTGCCTCCTCTGGGGCTTCACGGGGCAAGCACATTCCCCTTCCCTTCTGGGCCACCACAGGGCTCAGGGCCAGTGGGACCTCAGAGGGCCCTGGGCTGTGGCTGCTGAGCCCAATAGGCGGCCACCTGGGAAGCTGTGACAAAGGCACATTCCAGGCTCCCAGCCCAGAAGCTCTGGATGCCCAAGTTGGACTCCTCCCGCCCTGTGATTGATTCTGCAGATCCCACGCTCAAGGCCGCCGTCCCCTGGGGCAGTGGAGCTCTGCAGTGCGTCAGCAGTCAGCAGCTTGTGCTTGGCAACCACCTTGCTCCTTGGATTTACTGTTCTCATTAAGGCCAGCTCCAGACCCGCCAGAGGCAGGGCGCCCTGCGCATGTGCAGCCAGCCTTGAAGGCTCCCTAAGCCTGTGCAGGTCCCCTGAGGGGCAGGTTTGTGTGCTGGCCCTGTTCCCTGTCATCCAGGGAAAGGGGGGCTCTCCTGGGTGGGCCACACCATCCGAGTTGCCCATAGCGGCCTTCAGGGTCCTTCCCGTGTAGAGGGAGCTGGGAACCAGGAATGTGGTCACCAGGGCCCCAGTGCCAGGCGCTGGACAGAGAAGTGCAGGGAAGCACTTCCCAGCCCTCCCTGCAGGCACGAAAGCATGCGTGTGTGTGTGCACACACACACATACACACACCCAGGACATCTCTCCGAGGAAACACTTTCATTTTCATTTCTACATTTTGAGAAGATGTCACAAAAAAGATTGGCAGACCCTTTGGAACTGTCTGGGGGGTTGAGGGCGAATGCTGGACCCTCCTCTCCTACACCCACCCATACCCTGCACACGGAGGTCAGGGCAGGGGGGTCTGAGTATCTGGGGTAACAGGCCACAGCACATGGAATGGGCCGCAAAGCGTCCAGATGGCAACCACGTGTGCGTGAGTGTGCACGTGAGTGTGCTCTGTGGGCTCTTTGGATCCACACTGGAGGACTCAGCCCCACTCAGCCAATTGGAAGCATTCGGGAGGAAATGGGTCTGCATTGGAGCTGCAGAGTTCTTCCTGGCCCTGTGTCCCACACAACACAGTGCAGTGAGGACTCCACAGAGCTGCCTTGTGCTTGGGACCCTGAGTGATCCACGGGGATTTACAGTGGGTGGGAGCTTGCACAGGTTGTACGAGAATACCACGTCATTTTATTGATTTATCTGTTATTTTTCAGATGGGATCTGACCACGTTACCCAGGCTGGTTTTGAATTCCTGGCTTCCTGAGTAGCTGGGACCACAGGCACACACTGCCATGCCTGGCTACTATGCTGTCCGATCCCCAGGATGTGAGCATCTGAGAATCTTGGTGTCTGCAGGGGCCCTGGAGCTCCTCCAAATACCAAGGTGACTGTGTAGGTGAAGAGGGAGAGAAAACACACATGGTGTGTAAGTAAAGGGTAGTATAGTAAAACAGATACAGACATTCTTCATACTATTTTTAGTTTTGCAATTTTTTTTAACTATTCAAAATTTTTTTTGAAATAAAAACATTGATAAAGGGTGTGTGGTTTATTCAAGGACACAGAGCAAAGGGGCAGTTGGATGAGTGGTTTCCTTGTCCAAGAACATCCCGGCCACTTCTTATAGTCTCTGGATTTATATATTTTAGACTCAGTGTCAATGCCAGCTTCTCTGGCTTCCTAGTTCTGTGTGTCCAGATTTCATGTACTTGTCTTTCCCCTTATTGTGGCAGATCGAAGTGAATTCTTTTTTTGGTTGTTGAGCTTTGCTTTTTTGAGGCAGGGTCTTGATATCTAGTGTAGGCTGATCTTGGACACGTGGCCATCCTTCTGCCTCAGCCTCCTGAGTACTGTGATCTCAGGTGTGCACCCCTACACCCTGTTAAAAGTGAATTGTTTTTTCTTTTTGGTACCAGGGATCGAACTTGGGACCTTGCGCTTGCAAGGTAGGCAGCGGAACCACCGAGCTAAATCCCTGGCCCTGAAGTGAATTCTTTGACATTTCATTTATTTTGCTTTTGCTGCCTGTCAGTTCTGTGTGGATAGGGCCTTGTGTGTCTTGTTCCTGGCTGAACCCCAAGGGCAGAGCCCAGTGGCTGTATTACCGTAGGTGCCCAAGAAATATTTACTGGAAGAGTTAATGAGTAAGTGAAGGAGAGAGACGCATGGCCTCTGCCAGGCCACCCTCTTTGCTGTTGTGGAGCAGCCATGACACAGAGGTGACCTGTATTTCACCTGTGTGGCCATGGGGAGCAGGGGCCGGGGCGCTCCAGTCCAGGGCCGCCCAGGCCCTGTGACCAAAGTGTGCCCAGGACCCCGGGCATGTTTATGTTAATTCTGAATACCAAATGCATCCATTTACCCAAAATCCCCAAAGCGGAAACACACAGAGTAGGGCATGGGCCCCTTCCACCCTGCCCTCTCTGCTCCCAGCTGCTCTTACTGGTGTTCATTTTCTGAAGGGCCCTCCGATGTATATTGTTTATTTACTTATTTATTTTGTTTCTTGACACAGCGTCTCAATGTATCATTCAGGCTGTTCTTGAACTCATGAGATAATCCAGGCTGGGCTTGAACTTGCAGTGATCCTCCTGCCTCAGCCTCCGAGCACTGTGATTCCAGGTGTGCACCACCGTGGGTAGTTTAGGCGTGCACAACCAAATCTGTGTGAGCGTGGATGTCCATGCACTCTGGTTGTACTTTGCCTTGCTCATGTAATGACAGGTCACGGCCCGATTTGTTTCATAAGAGTTCCTGAAAGTCTGTCTTTGGTTTCGTTGGGATTGGTTTCCTTGGGGCTGCTGCGCATATATGGGTGTCGGTGGGTAAGTGGAAATGCCTACAGGTCTACGATCGAAGGAGCCAGCTCCAAACCTTCCCTGCTGTGCTGGGAGCCTCCTGCTGCCACGGGGAGTGAAGAGCACTGAGGAATGACAGAGCAAGAGGCAGGGACCTCAGAGCACCCAAGTCCGGCATGGTGATCACCAGCTGCCAAATCCAACGTGGCTACGAAGGCAAAGTACTCTGCAGCTGACTCAACTGGAAGGCACAGGGAGGGTAAGATGTCAACTGCAGTTTGAAGATTTAATTTAAAAACGTAAAAACATCTTATAAATTAATAATTTTTTTATGTTTGTTACAAATTGAAACTATCATATTTTAAATGTATTGGTTAAGTAAATATATCATTGAAATAAAAGTTCGCCTGCTTCTTAATTTTTTGAAATGTGGTTACTGGAAACTTTAAAATTCTAGATGTGGGTTGCATATGTGGGTGACATATGCAGCAAAATCAAAACATATGGTGAAAGTTTAAATTTTTAAAAATTGTTACCATAAAAAACACACTGCCATGAATTCCCTTCAAAATCCTCCCCCTTGTTTTGAATAATACACTTATCCCATCATCCTTGCCACTTTCTGAAGCAGTTCTGGAAGTCCTCTTTCCTAAGGGTCTTTTTGAGGTGTGATCAAATATACGATGAATGCTGCTCGCGTGAGCGTCATGCAACAGAAAGGCCGCTGGTAAAAGCATTTAGTGTTTCCTCATCCATCTTATTCACCAGGCCTGGCACTGTGCAACTTCCGGCTTTTCCCCAAAGTCAAAATGACCACAAAAGACAGGTGTTCTAAATTCATTTAGACACGGAAGCAGTCACGACAGCTGCTAAAGACCCTCAGGAAGGAGGACTTTCAGAACTGCTCCAGAAAGCAATTTGATGGGATAAGTGCGTTGGAAGTGAGGGGGAGTATTTTGAGAGGGCAATGTGTCTTTTAACATAAACTTTAAAAAAAATTATATATTCGTTGTATTTTCGATCACACCTCGTATTTCCACTGGACCAGGCTTCGCTAGAGACTCAGAGCCCAGGGAGAAATGGAGCAGGGAGGAAGGGCTAAATACAGCAGGAGTGGAGACAAAGGAATAGGAAAGTGGGGATCACAGAAGCCTGGGGTCCCCTTGCCTGAGTCAGGAGTCCTGGGTCTCCACCTGACAAGCAGGACCATCCCAGGAGCAGCCTCCTTCCTGCTCAGCCTCCCACGGTCCGCTCTGTGTGATGAACAGCAGGGCCTCCTCTGTTTTGTCCCCTGCTGTGTCCCTAGAGCTAGAATAATGGCACCTTGGAGTGTTTGTTGAGTGAATACATGAAAGTAGAGGATTTGAAGGGAAATGTGAGTTTTTCTTTCCAGCGAAGGATCAGGTCATGGAGGCCCCTGGAGATGATGCAGATATCTCTGGCTAGGAAGCCAAGACTCCAAGAATGACTTGCCCAGGGTCAGTGGGTGGTACTGAGGGCTGAACCAGGGACAGGTTTAGTTTCTTCACTCCCCTGATAGAAGCATCACTCAGAAAAAGGCTTAGATATTTATATCCCCTCTTGGTAAAGTCTGGAGCCCTCCTCCTTCCCTTCTTTTGTTGGTTTTGAGATGAGATCTTGCTGTGTAGGTCGGGCTGGGCTCGAACTCACGGCGATCCTCCTGCCTCAACTTCTGGAGTCCTGGGATCACAGTGTGCACCACCACACCTGGCTTCCCGCCTACACTTTTTCAGAGTGGGTAATGACATTTCCGCGTGGTCTGAGGCTGCAGGCATGAGGAAGTGTGACCTCCAGCTGCAGTCCTGGGACAGAGTTCTTATCACCCTTTTGGCCTCCGGGCCGGGGCCTCTTCTGTCCGGGGCTGGGGAAGCTGGATGGCCTCCCTGAGGGAGCTGGCAGCGCAGCCCCTAAATCACTCCCACCCAGGATCTGCAGAGATTGGGCTTAGAGCCTGACCGCGACAGCCCGGCTGCGTTCCCACAGTGACTGATCGCTGCTGAGGGGCTGCGGGAGCCGGGCTCGGCTGCCTCTTCCTCCCAGGCAGCAGCACACACAGTTTTTAATAATTAAGTAACTTTAATTGTCCTGGGAAAGCTGAGCTTGCCTTGGGGCACGCTGAGCAAACTCATAATTAATGTTACTGAGAGAGATTAGCAGAGGACGACTGAGAAATGATTCACTTTTTAAAAAGCACCTCACTGTTAGGCCTTATTATCCTGAGTTTGGAGCCTCATTTATCTGCTTTGAGGAAAGGAGGGGGTGGGAAGACCCGAGACCCAGTGACGAATGCATGTGAAGTTAAAACTGCATGCTTTTGTCATGTGGCTGCAAAAGCATCAGACAGGAAAATGTTGCCATCTGTCTATCGTGTTCTGTGAGTGGGGGTGAGCTTCAAGACCGAGGAATATGATTAGTAAACATAATACTTCACACACTTTTAAAAAAAGGGATATCCTTTTTTGTTTAGAAATGATCTCTTTTGGGTACTTTTTGGAATAGCTTTTTCTCTCTGGTTCTTTATGAAAGAAGGCAGAGCTGGGTAATTTTCGGTGATTGTTTACGAAGTGACGCTGGGAGCAAGAGGAGTGTTTGGTAAGTATTTGATGAGTTAATGACCACGTGGATGAATGAGAGAGGGTCTTGAAGGAGAGATTTCCCAGGCACAAACATCCACGGTCAATGTCAAGGGCAAGCCCAGCCGGGCCTGGAGGAGAGGCCCGTGGAGAGAAATAGGGACAAAAAAGTGCAGTAGTGCCGGGCATGGTGGCACACACCTGTAATTCCAGCACTCGGGAGGCTGAGGCAGGAGGATCACTGTGAGTTTGAGGCCAGCCTGGACTGCACAGTGAGACCCTGTCTCAAAAAACAAAAATTAAAAATGCTGTAGCAATGATACAGCTGGAGAGAGACACCTTGAAAATGAGAAGCCAAGATATGAGTGAGACCCTTCTGCATGATTAGTGGTCCATCAATGGGATGTGATGGGATCCCCTAAACTCCCGATGTGCTTCCTTCCCAAGTCCTAGTGTCACCAGAGCGTTGGCCTAGATTTTTGGTCCTGTTCGGACCACAAATATTTGTCTCCTACATTATGAGTGCCCAGGCTGGGCTCAAATTTGCAACCTTCCTGCCTCAGCCTCCCTTTCTGTGGGGGAATTTTTCGAGGGCTGCTTCTTCGCTTCTGGCTGCTCTGCACTATGATCCTACCCAGAGCCACTGATCTCCTGCAGTGCCCAGCAGGTTATGTTAGGTCCTGTCCCTTGCGGCGGGCCTGAAGGCGCCCAGGCCCTTCCCTGTCCCTTGCTGCCCACGAGGGCGTGGCCGAGCAGCTCGGGTGTCTCTCCTCCCTGACCTTTGTGGGTGGAGTGGGCAACCAGACTGCAAGCTGCTTTAGACTCGGCCATGCCTCTGGGGCTGTCCCTTTGTGACCTCAGGAGGTTTGCAGCGGGCCCAGAGTTTCCTGAGGCTGGTGGGACAGGGGCCTCAGGGAGCCTGGCCGGGGGGCTTTTCGGCCTGGAGGTCCTGGGGTGCGGGGCTGGAAACCCCATGCTGAGTGCAGAGGCTCCAGAGGAGGGGAAGGGTAAGGGGCTGGCTGGGCTCCAGGAGGGGAACCTGAGCCCTCCCTGCTGACGGATTTGGCGAGGCCCAGGTCAGAGAACGTGCACTCTGATCACAGCCCCACAGCGGACACTAGGGAGCGGGCACCTGGATGGCGCCCTTGTTCAAAACGCCATCGAAGTCTACGTTCTGCTTCCATGCCTTGCTCTCTTGCTTTTAAAACCGCATCACAGAGACAACTCCAGAGAGAAGGCAAAGAGTAGAGCCACACTTTTAGAACGGCCAATTAGCTTTTCATTTTATGTATCCACTTTTTTTGTGTGTGTGTTAATACTGGGGATTGAACCCAGAGCCTTCACACTGAGCTACATCCCCAGTTCTCTTTTTATTTTTTATTTTAAGACAGTGTCTTGCTAAGGTGCTAAATTGTCCAGGCTAGGCCGGGTTGAGCTGATCGCAAACTCACCATCCTCCTGCCTCAACCTCCCAGAGTGCTGAGATTACAGGTGTAAGAATATTTGCCTGCGGCTGCTGGACATTGGGTGATTTTCATTATTTTGCCATTCACGTGTTTCCTTCACAGCCAAGTCTTATCCTTATCTGTTACTATAATTCTGGAGACCGCACACGGAGAATGGAAGGTCTCTCTCTGGTGTGTAGGAATTAGCCAGGCAAAGGCCACTGTCTACAGCCTCGTTTACACCATCTGTCCAGGAGGAGCACCATTCCCGCCCCATGCGACCTTGCAGCAGGCAAGTCTGGCCTTGCTTGGCCGGGCTGCAGCGCGGTGCAGCCCGTGGTGTGCGGTGAGACACCTTTCTTGGCAGGAGCTGCCCAGGGCTCCCGGAATGTCTGATTACTCATGGGGTTGCGACAGTGTGGTGAGCTCCAGGAGCGAGGCTTCCTTCCTGGATGACCTCAGCCTGCTGGGTGAGTAATGGAGCCGGGCTGGCAGAACTGGGTGGTCGGGTGTGGCTGGGGCTCTGAGAAGGCCGGGGGAGGGCATGGGGTGCACGTTCATCCTCCTGCCCTGCTGCAGAGAATGATGCCCTCCTCTCAGCGGGTTGGTGCCCAGGGCTCTTCGCTGGCTTTGGTTTCTTGAGACAGGACCTCGGGGTGTGGTCCAGGCTGGTCTTGAACTCATTACATGGCCCAGGCTGTTCTCAGACTCACAGCGACCCTTCCTTCCTTCAAGGTGTGCTTGCAGGCCGGGCCAGCCTCTGCTGTGCTGAGGTCTCCAGCAGCTCCTGGAGGGATCCTGAGGGCTGTTCGGTGGGCCGAACCCAAGTCCTGCCCCGTGCTCCTTGAGCCAGGCGCGGGGCCTGCTGCACTCTCCCTGGTGCCCTTTGCAGTGACATGCGAGTTGCGTCCCCTCCGCTGTGCCATTCTGGGCTCCCCGCACGCACGCTGAGTGTGTGTCCGGCCACTGTCTCCAGCTGGGGTGCGCATGGAGCGAGGAGCTGCTTTCCCCTCCTGCTCCCTGACGAGGTTCTCGGTGTTTCTGTTATTCCCACCCCACTTCCTTCTCCGTCTGGTGGGCTCTCGCGGTCTCTGGATGCTGAAAAGACAGCCCGCAGGGCCAGGGATTTAGCTCAGGTTCTGGCGCCTGCCTCGCAAGCTCGAGGTCCCCAGCTTGATCTCCGGTACCAAAAAAAGAAAAAAGACTCGGACCGGAACACGGGGCTCTGCCCAGTGTGGGTCCTGACTGTGAAATGGATGGAGGATGGTATCCAGGCCTGAGCCTTAAAAACTAAAATGGCCTTTGCTCTTTTGACCTGGATCAGGTTCACAATCCTCAATCAATTCTCCTTCTTCCTCTTCTTCTTTTTCCTCTTCTTCTTTTGAGACAGATCTATCTCAGTTAGTTGAGGCTGGTCTTGAACTCACTATGTAGCCCAGGCTGGCCTCGAACTTGCAGCGATCCTTCTGCCTCAGCCTCCTAAGTGCTGGGATTTCAGGCGTGTGACACCAAGCCCAGCCTCAGTCACTGTCTTGGACACAGACTGTCACCTTTAGAACAGTGGCCTCAAAAATTCATCATGGGCAAGGGGCCCTGTGGCTCATTAGCTTGCATCCCAGGGTTAGGACAGAGCTGGTCTCTGTGGAAATCATCTCTTTCCTTCTCTCTCTTTCCTTTGTCTGATACTGGGCTGAACCCAGGGTCTGCACACTGAGCTACGTCTCTGCCCCTTTTTATTTCGAGACAGCGTCTTGCCAAGTGACTAAGTTGCCCAGCTTGGGCTGGAACTCCCCATCCCCCTGCCTTGGCCTCCAGTGCCTGGATTACAGATGTGTGCCCACGCCTGGTTTATACAGAAATCATCTCTTACAAGAAAATCTCTAGAAATCCAGGACAAGTCCCTTGCTTGGCCTTTCTGTAGGAACTCCCCGGACAAGTGCAGCTGGAGGGAAGGACCTCCCGGGACAGGAGTGATCTCTCAAGTACGAAGTGAAGCAGCCTTCTGGCCTTCTCCCTCTTCAGAACTGCGGTCTAGGTGGGTGCCCCACAATGCTGGTCCCCCTGGGCCTCGACTCCGGCCCCTCCCCCACTTCCAGGCCCAGGGGACACAGGCCCCGCCCCTCAGAGCTCAGATAAGGCCTTTGAGTAACAGAACCAACTGGGAGGAAAGAAAGCCAAGGCCCTTGGACATCCGCACTCTGCCGGGAGAGCTTTCTGTTATGTCTCCACCCTTCCCCTTCTACTGGGCCTGCTTTTTACACCAAGTCATTGAAATCACAGGGCCTGGCTGGTATTTTGCTCTTTGCCAGGCAACTCTGTCAAAAACTTTTTCATGCTTTGGGCTGGATGGGAAGGAAGTGAGAGGGAAAAAAATAGTTCTAATCCTCTAAAATGAGAATTTTTCTCCTCTTTGCATTTTGCTTTTTTTGGTACTGGGGATCGAACTCAGGACCTTGCACTTGAGAGGCAGGTGCGGTACCACTGAGCTAAACCCTTGGCCCAATGAGGATTTTTCTAAAAACAGACCTTGGTGTCGAGCTCGATGGCACCCGCCCCCAGACTCCTTGAGTTGGACTCAACCTCTAGCAATGGCATGGGGAAGCTCAGGGGTCCTTGGGCCCTGGTGCCACCTGGGCACTCGGCCCACTGGCCGCAACTCCTCCCTGCCAACTTCAGAGCCATAGCAGGGACTCGGAAGAAATGCTCTGTGAGGGCAGCAATGGCTGGAGCCATCTCAGGATTCTCCTCCCCTAGGGAATGGGGGTGGCAGGGGTGGGGAGCGGGTCCTTTCTGGAGCCACCAAATAACCGCCCGGTACCTCACTAGGTCTTGCAGGCGCCTTCTGAATCAGATCTGCTGTGGCTGCGCAATGAGATCCCAGCTGTGCAGGAGAGAGACGCAGCAAATGTGTGCACTAACGGGGCGAAGTCTGGGTTATGTGCAGAAAGAGAAGTGTGGACATCTGTCCTCAAATACAAGTAAGTCATTGATACCAGGGGGAAATGACTTAAAATTTTCTACTGCACCTGCAGCTGTAGAGATGAGTTGTTTTAGCCGGGTGTGGTAGCACACACCTGCAATCTTAGCACTCGGGGAGGCTGAGGCAGGAGGATTGTCACCAAGTTCAAGGCCAACCTGGGCTACATGGAGAGACTGTATGGGAAAGAAAGAAAGAGAGAAAGAAAGAAAGAGAGAGAGAGAGAAAGAGAGAGAAAGAGAGAGAGAAAGAGAGAGAAAGAGAGAGAGAAAGAAACAAAGAAAGGCTATTTTAATTTAGTTTAACTTTTTTTGTTTACTTCCTGCCTCCTACCCTTTACCCTGCCTAATAAAAGGAAAGGACAGACACAGAATAGAAGGTGACATGGTCTAAGTGACTGGGAGTACTTGGATTAGGCACAGGGTTTCATTGTGGCTGAAGGGGAACCATTGGGTGGCTGCTGATGTCCCCTCCCCCTGGATTATAATTGTGAGGGTCAAAAGAGGTAATGGTTACAATTATACTTTGTATATTATAAATCAGTAAACATCTTAAAAATAGCATTTTTTTCCTTGAGAATTGCAGGCTTGAAAATGCTAACGGTGCCTTTACTGTGTGGACTATATTCGAGGCACTAAGAACCTAGTGCCTGTTACAGCCAACTAGGCTGTGGGCTCGAGGAGGGGGGAGCTTGGCCTAATTTGCTGCTGTATTCTTGGGGCGTAAAAGAGCTCCAGTCCGACAGGAGGTCTTCCACACGTGTTTTGTAAAGTTTGAAAGTGATTTCTAATCCTGTCTCCTAGAGCATTAACTTTGTCATACAACAGGGGGTAGGGGAGTCAGAAAGTTTGGGGGACCTGCTCCCGGCCTCCCCCCTGACGAATAGCGAGCAGGGACTGGGGTTGTGACTGGCTGAATAATGGCATTCAGAGGCGGCCACGTGTGGACCCGGAGAAGGACTCCGAGCAGCTCCGTGAAGCAGCCCGCCCCGGGCCGTGCCGCGTCCTCGAGCACTTGTTTCTCCCAAGGCAGCTGGTTGCTCTCTCACACTGCACCTTGGGGTCACTCCCGAATAACCCCTATTTGTGGGCCTGTCTGCAGCCTGGGTTTGCAGGAGACCAGCAGGATGCTGTGTCTGAACTGAGCACAGCAGCAGCCCCGGCGCTGCTTACTGCCAAGTGTGCCGCAGCCTGGTCCTCCATAGAGGCAGCGTAGCCCGGCGCAGGCCTCTGTCCCCCAGCCCTGGCCGAGGACTCTGAGGCTACTTGCTGGGTGGTTTGCCATAGCTGATAAAGTCAAGAGGGGTGGTTTCGAGGTTCCTGGGGACATCAGGGCTCCTGGTTGTTCAGTGGCCCAAGTCCCCATCCCCGGTGAGCCTCCCCCAGTGACAGCCAATGGCCCTTCATGCAGAACAGATGTTTTCTAGATGTGCAGAATTGCATCGCTAGTGACCTAGCTGCGGACCCAACCGGGTGATTTGAGAGTTGCCTGGAAGCTGGGGCCTCGGGCCCCTCCCGGGCAGCTGTTCCCAGGGTTGGCCGAGCATCCCCTTGAGCTGGGCTTCTTCCTGCCCCCAGCCCCACACTGGCCCCTTCAGTCCTAGGCTTTCCCACCAGATGGGCCCAGAACAGATGGAAACAGATCTCTCAGGCACAGCCAGCTGATGTGGATTTCACAGTGGGCGGAAGAGAGAGAGCAGAGCAGACAGCCCAGCCCGTTCTCACGGCCTCTTGGGAGGCCACACTGGCTGTCCAGCTGTTCACCCTCACCCTTTGCGAGAGGGGCAGGGCTTGGCCCTCGGGGATCCATTGCAGAGGGTGGAGGAGGCTAGAAGCTAGAAATGTAAAATGCTCCAGTTCCTCACAGCCTTAAACTCGAGCGCTACGGAAAAGGCTGACTGCTCCTAGCTGTGCCTCTCTCCCCACTTCCGGCTCTCTGGCCTCTCTGCCCTTTGCTCCATCTCTATCTCATTTCTGCACAAGCACAGCCACCTGATCCCTTCAGCCCAGCTCTGGGCCCCTCTTGCTCCAGGAAGCAGCCCCTCCCGTCCCCCCAACCTGGTAACTCTAGCCCTGACCCGTCCCTCTCCTCTGGTCTCCAGAGCCATTGCTCAGGTAGAAGCCATAGCTTGATGTCTAGGCTCGCATTCCTGCTGGACGTGGTCATTTCTGTTACAGTGTTGGGTCCTGCTCAGAGCAGGGACAAGCTCTTTCTTGGCTCCATCATCCCTGTGGAGGTGCTCTGTGAAATATCTTTGGAGTTCTGTTTCTTTTTTTGTGTGGGTGCATGTCAGGCAATTGATAACCAATGCTACTCTTGCTGAAGAGCCCCTCTTAGCCGTCAGTTCAGGTCACTCAACAACATACCATAGACCGACCCCATCACACCACAAACCTCCCCTTCCCTCAGTTCTGGAGAGCAGGAAGGCCGAGGCCGAGGTGGGAGCCAAGGTGATGTCTGGTTGGGGCTGCCGTCTTGCTACATCCTGACAGCAGAGAGAGGGGCTCTGGCTGCTTCCTCTTCTTCCGAGGGCACTAGTCCCACCCACCCACGTGACCCCATCTACACCTAACGATGCCCTAAGACCTCTGCAACGTGTGAGTGGGCCCCAAGCACTGAGTGGACACAAGACCCTCTGTTGATGGCTCCGTGTGCCAGGCACTGGGCTGGGGCTGGAGAGAGGCGTTCAGTGCTGGGTGAACCTAGTCTTGTCCCCAGGAAGCTCATGGTCCGGCACAGTGGCCGGTGCACAGCCATAATAAGTCACTCCGGCTGGGGCGGGGTTCCTCAGGGGAATGCACACCAGGGCCACTGAAGAGAGGGGATGTCCTGCTGCTGATGGGTGTCTCGGGGAGGGGCCCTGCCAGCAACTGGACAGACCCCGAGCGACTTTGGGAGCACAGTGCCGGGCGGTCACTGGGTGAAGCTGAGAAGTCTCACACCTGTTAGCTGGTTTGTTTACTGTCTTATGTGGATCCTTCAGGGCTTCCTCCCATTCTCCAGTGTGCAGACATTTAAGTGAATCAACATATAAGAAAATGACAAGTTCAGTTCTCTGGTCACATCAGCCACCTCTCAGGTGCTCAGAAGCCACTGTGTCACCCCAGGGCTGGTAATAGTTGCTCCTTCAGTCCCTCAAGCCCCTGTGAGAACAAGCAGAAAGGACTGTTAGCAGCCCAGAAGAGGCCCACGGGCCAGTGATCCTGTGCCTTGGCAGGGCCTGTCCTTACCCAGATGGGTTCCTCCCCTGGTGACGTCACCTCGGCTGGGGTTACAGAGGCAGCCTGGCCGTGAGGGAATTGCTTTCCTGAGTTTGCCTGGTGCCTTCAAACACAGCACTGCACCGGTGGGTCGGAGAGAACATCAAGACGAACTTCAGCCGAGTTATACACACACCAAGGCGACTGTGCTTTTTTTGTACATTTCCTGTCCATGGGTGTGATCCCTTTCAGGTGTGCTAGGTTCCTGAAATGCAGGGGGACACAAATGGTGTGGCAGCCCCTGCCCCTGCCAGAGCATTTTGGAGCCTCCCAGGAGTCCACGTGGGTGTGTGTCACACCTTTACAGCACCAGGCAGGATGAGCACTTGTGTCTGGGTATCAGGGGGCCACACAGGCAGGTGACCCAGAGCAGTCACTCTGCACACAGGGCCCCTGGCCCAGGGCCAGAGTTGGCAGACAAAGAGGAAGCCCTTGGTAGGTGACATCCATCACTCGTCCCTTCCCTCCACCTTTGCCCGTCTGCATAGCCAGTCACTGCACTAGGTACTAGCGGGCCTGGAGAGATGACAGAACCAGGCTCTAGCCTTCCAGCTACAAAACTAGTTGCTTAGAAACTGAAACGATGAGGTAGGCAGACATAAAAATCTGTGTAATGTTTTAGTACTCACCGGACATGCAATAAGAATATGGTTCTCTCTTCCTGCTGTGTTTTTTGTTTGCTTTGTGTTTTTTTGAGACAGGGTCTCCCTACGTTGTTCAGGCTGGCTTTGAACTCACTGTGTAGTCCAGGCTGGCCTCAAACTCCTGGTGATCCTCCTGCCTCAGCCTCCCTGGTGCTGGGATCACAGGTGTGTGCCACCTCACTTGGGTTTCCTGCTGTATTTTTAACTACCAGTGTTTGCCCGATCGACATGCCTTGCGCTCTTCTGTGTGTGGGGTCAGGCTGGGTGCTGAGATGGACGCCGAGATAATCAGGGAGGACGGTGAGTCACGGAGCTCACAGCTGGGGCGGAAATGCAGCTTGCATTGATTTACAAAGCAAACTGTGGCCAACCTCTTGCTCGGGGCCCACAGACAAGCAACACTGGGAAAGGACACAGACTTGCTGAAGACCTCTCAGAGACAGAGCTGGCAAAGCACCTTTAGGGCTTTCTCCCTGCAGTGGGTTAGCACAACTTCTGCCTGGCCCTTACTTCCGGTCCCACAGGTCTGAGTGGCCTTGATCTCTGGTCTTTGACAGCAGAAGTGACAATGCCTGATTCGTCCCTCCCAGTCCTCTGTGTTCCTGTTTCCTGGCAAGGTCAGCAGACACAAACCATTTCTCATGGCCTCCATGAACACCAGCCCTGAAAGAGGCTGCAAAGAGAGGTTGGTCTCATTTTCCTCATTTGGGAAAACTGAGGCCCAGAAGGGAAACAAGCCCTCTGGGGCCTCATGATGCAGAGCGGGGCTTGGCAGGTCCTGGAACCCTCCGGTTTGCATTCCTGGTCTTGGAGGGAGGGGAGTCCTGCTGCCCATGACACATTCCCAGAGAGGAGCTGTCAAGGCCAGGAAAAAAGCGGAACAAGCTATTCATTCTTGTCTGTGCCCTTTTCCCATGTCAGGAGCAGACTGGGCTGAAAAATTTAGGTTTCCTTTTCATGTTTCCTTTCACTCCACTCAGGACAAAATGCCTTTCTTCTCCCGCCTTTCTTTGGCAGGATCCTGACCAAGGCTGTAGAAAAAGAATCTTTCAAGAACGTATCTATCTATCTATCGATATACACGCAGGCCCTGACAGTGACCCCGGACTGTAGTGCTCTTCATTACCCAGGAAGTGACAGGGTCAAGAGGAGCCTGACAGCCGCCTCGAGGTTCTGCCCATGGATTCCTGGCCATTGTCTCGGCTCCGTAGCCTGGAGTGGGTCACCACTGCTCCTGGGTTTGTCCGCTGTTCCCATTTCTTCATTTCTTCCTCATTCTTTTTTTAATTTGAAAAGAAACTCTGGCATCTTGAGTATTGACTGGAAATTCATAAGAGCCACAGGTGTTTTGGGTTGGCCAGCTTGTCATAATTGCCACTTGGACACTGGGGGAGGAGGTGATCACATTCTTACAGGGCCACCCTTCTGATGGCCCCATTTCCTGGTGATGCTCCCACTTTTTTTCCCATTATCTTTGGATATTCCAGGGGAAAATGTCACTTAAAATTTTTTTTAATCACCCATTGAATAGTCACTGGCTGTCCATCTGCCTTTTGTGATTCCTGTCATTTGAAAGCAGGGAGCTGAGGTTTTGAACCTCGGTCATCCTGAACTTGTGATACAAAAGCAGAGCTGAAGGTGTTTCTGCAAACTTTGGATCAGAGTTTTAGAAATTCCCAGGAACTATCATTCAGTTTTATTTTGGGACAGAGAAGCTAGAAGCAGGGTGTCAGAGAAAGCATCAGTAGCACACACAGGCTCTCTTGACTGATTTTGCTTTAAATGAGGTCTTGCTATGTAATGAAGGCTGGCCTTGAACTTGCACCTGTCTTCCCTGGTGGCTGGATTATGGCTGTGTGCCACCACACCTGGCTGCCCTGAGTATTTTGCTCTTCAACAGCAATGGAAGGTGGCTACATCTGCAGAGCAGAAAAATGGTCCATTCTTGGTCTGGTAATAGGTTTATTTTTTAATAATCCTAGCAAGTCCAAGTGGATGTTAGAAGTTGTGGTAGCATGAAGCTCTTCAGGTTTTCATTTTCCAGTGTCCTGGTGCATAGCATACTCTGGAACCTACCAGGGCCTCTGGGAAGGAGTCCAGGGTGGAACATTCTTCTCTTCGGTGTGCACAGGAAGCCTTGAAATGTTAAGCTCCCAAATCTAATGGTGTCAAGCACAAAAAGAATCTGTAATGCCCAAATCTTACTTCTCTTCAGGAAGAATTGGGTTTTCTTCCCAAACCTCCCTACTTTTCAGCAAAATGTGCAACACAGCCAGTCTGGATCCACCAGCCCACTGGCTTTACACTGGAAGATGGAAAGGATAGAGTGAGAAGTTCTGAGTTTTGGTGTTGTTTTTTCTCTGATATTGGGCAGACAACTTTCCCTCTTCAGACTTGATGTCCTCATCTGAGAGACGAGTAGTCAGACTGCTTGACTTCCCACTCAGCTGAGATTCTAAGAGCAGAACCAAGAAATAGGCAGATCTCTACTTTCTGAATGCTGATAAAAATCATCAGACATCAGGTTGGGGACAATGAGATGTGCGTTGCCCTTTGTTATCCAAAAGCAGTGACTGCTGAGGGATTGGGATACGACCTGAAGAAAATATTACCAAACACCTGTCTCCTGGATCAGACACAATTGCGGATAGATGGGTAAGAAGTAAAGATGTTGAAAAACATTGAACAAGTACGTACAGTAACATGATACAGAAACCCAGTTATGAGAATGTCTTATCACTCTAGGAAATGTTGGCTCAACAATTCCTGTACTTCCATGCATGTGTACATCCATACATGAACAAAGCCATCCATCCATCGATCCATTCATCTACTCACCCATCCATCTATCCATCCATCATCCACTCATCTATCTATCCACCCACCCACCCATCCATCTACCCATCACCCATCCATCCATCATCCACCATCCATCCACTCATACATTCATCTACCCACCCATCCATCTACACATTCATCTATCATCCAGCCATCCAGCCATCCACTCAGACATCTACCCATCCATCCAACCAGCCATAAACTCAATAACTTCCCATCCATGCATGATGTGGGAAGGAAAGAGGGATGTATCTCCAACAAGGAGGTCGAAAGAAGTGCAGGTGGGCTCAGAGGAAGGAAGAGAACTCTTCCTGCTGGGGACATCAGAGGTGGCTTCATGAGGGAGCTGGCCTTGGAGCTGTCTTGATGGATGGGTATGTGTGAAGAGGAAAGGGCTGTGGGGGAGGCACATGAGTAAAGCCTGGGGACCTGAAAGTATAGTGGTTGTTGGGGGACCAGGGAGCAATCCACCAACAAGGTCCAATAGGACTGAAGAAACATTGACCTTGAGGAGTGGGGTGATTATGGAGCAATGTTTTGGAGCGGCCTGGACCAGCCATCTTTGCAACAGAGAGTGTGAAGGAGGCACATAAGAACTGGGAGAGAGGCAGGGTGCGGGTTGACAATGACTAGTGCGTTTCGCTACAGGAAGCCGTGTGTGAGTCCAACAGGGGAAAGCAAAAGGAAAGCCCACGTCTTATGAGAAGTTTTACAAGCACTTCTCGTTCGGTCCCCAAGAGTTCTGCAGGTGACTGTGAAACAGAAAGTCAGGGAGACTTTGTGTTCATGAAGAGACTGATTAAGGGGAAGGCGGGTGTGAAAAGAGGTGCCTGTCTCTATGCGAGACAATGGCTTGCCCACTGCAGCTGGCTCTTGTGCCACTTGTCTAGCCCGGCAGAGGTGGCAGTGTGGTGCAGGGGACACTGCTTGGCCTGGCTTTCCCCTGTGTGGACTGGCATGGGAAGAGCAGAGGCCCGGGTGGGCAGGAGCCCTGTACACTGTCTCACTGCAATGTGTCTAACAAGCTCTCCTTACAGGGAAATGGGAAGAAAGAAACCAGCTCTAAACCCTAAATCCCCCAAGGTAGCAGATGACCTCGCAAGTTCTCCATTTTACCCCTGAAAAAGGCCCTTGGGAATCCTTTCCCCTACCTTGTAAGAGAGAAAATCGAGGCTCACAGAGTTTCAGTACCTCGAACTCAACACGCTGGGTGACTCTGACAAGTCGCAGGACAGTTTTTTGCGAGTTAATGGACACAGGGCCTCCTCCCTGCTTGCCGTGAATGGATCAGCAGACAGCGCTGCGGGTCTCAGTGGAAGAAGAAGGAAGGAGCAGATGGAAAGGAAACAGTGGAGAGACCCCAAGGCCCGGAGTCCTCTGAGAGTTTCCTAAAGGGATTCCTCAGGAGTGGAGCAGGGGCAGAGGGGGCGGAGGAGACAGACCTAGAGGGCTGGGGGCAGAGCAGATGTGCTGACCTGGAGGCCAGGCCCGAAAGGCCCGCCCTGTGCTGTGGCAGCGGAACTGGGAACCTCAGAGGGCGGTGAACCAAATAATGCTTTGTTGGTTTTGCTAAAAGAAAATAAGAGAAACCCAGTTTACTCCCGAGGGCCCAGAGCTGAGGCAGCTGTTTCGAGGCCCCAAGATGGTCTGTGATCCTTCAGTTCTAGGGCACCCCTTCCCGCCATGTCCAAATGGAGGCAAACCTGGCTTCCCACTGTGATGGCTTTTCCTTTAAAAGTATAATTTATAACAGTAAAATGCTCAGTCTTAAGGGTTTATTTTCATCAATGCACATTAAGGTTCAGATATTTCTTTCTTGTTCTTCCTTTTTCTTTTTTTTCTTATTTTTGAGACAGTCTCACTGCATAACCCAGGCTGGCCTTAAACTCACAGTGATCCTCCTGCCTCAGCCTCCTGAGTGCTGGGATTACAGATGGAGTCAGATATTTCCATCACCCTGAAAGTCCTTTGCCAATTCATCCCTGCCTCCTCCCAGCAACCTGATCTTATTTCTGTCACATTGGTTGGTTCTGACTATTCTAGAATGTCCTGGAGATACAGTTATAAAAGGTGCCCTTCTGATGTTTACCTTGGCATTTTTGAGATCTGGCCACACACACCGCTGAATGCATCCATAGCTCATTCATTTTATCCCCCGTGGTATTCCACTGTGTGGTACAGTGCAGCTTATTTATCTATTTTCTTGGGATAGACTCTGAGTTGTTCCCAAGTTTGGACTATCCTAAATAACTGGCAGGAAGCTGTTTGTGGACTAGAGTTTTCATGTCTCTTCTGTAAATACCCACCAAGAAGACTGCAGGGTCTTGGGGGAGATGCAGTGCTGCTGGAGTGCACTTGGACCAGTTGGTGAGAGTCAACTGTGTCCAGGCATGATAGTGCACACCTGTAATCCTAGCACTGGGGAGGCTGAGGCAGGAGGATCGCTGTGAGTTTGAGGTCAGCTTGGGCTACCTAGACAGGCTACACACCTGTCTCAAAGCTAATTGTGCCCATCTGATCCCAACTCTGCTTTCAGTGATATCATATCGGCACCTAGAAATTGGCCACAGTGGGAAAATTTACACCAGGGAAATCAGCACATGCTCCCCCCCACCCCCCACCCCACCCCGACAGCCCACTGTTAACCAGCACACCTGGGCAGGTGCGTGTGAGCTTTCACAGAAACTCCCAGGGCTTCCAAGCAGTGGTGCCACTTAACGCCCTCGTTAGCGATGCCTCTGCCTCCTCCTGAGCCCTGGTGCTGCCAGGGTTTCACTGCAGCTGTTCTGGCCGGGTGTGGTGGTATCGCCTGGTCCTACTTTGCATTTCTCTGGTGATGATGATGTTGAGAGCTTTCACATTTGCTCATTTGTAGATTTCCTTGTGTGAAGTACTTTTTAGTCTTTGGTCATTTAAAAAAATTGGATTGTTTGTCCTCGTTGAGTGACAAGGGTTCTTTATATGTTTTATATGTAAGTCTTATTTTCTCCAGGTCTATAGTTGCTTCTCCCTGTCTCTCTCTCTGTCTGTCTCTCTCTCTGTCTCTCAACAGGGTCTCACTAGGTAGTTCAGGCTGGCCTTGAACTCATGGTGATCCTCCTGCCTTAGCCTCACAGATGCTGGGATTACAGGTGTGTGCCATTTCCCTGGCATATTTTCTTGATGGTATTTTTTTGTGAGCAGATATTTTTTATTCTAATGACACACAATCACCAATTTTCAATTTATGGTTTGTATTTGGTGGTCATGTGCTCTCTGCCAGGAGGAGTCATCTTGCCATTGCTTCCCTCTGGGGAGCCACTCCTTCAAGGTAGCTTGATTTGAATGTGTCCCCAAAAAAGCATTAGTGAGAAACTTTGTCCCCAAGGCAGCAGCACTGGGAGGTGGGACATGCAGAGGGAGATCAGCCCATACTGGTGGAGTGGATGGATTCACACTGATAGTGTGGCACTGTTTGGCTGTTGCTGTCCCTCTC